AACAATGTATTTACATTTTGCTCCTTATTTATTTATCAAATATGTATGCCACCCATCTCAAGGTAACTGTTGCTTGAAGATTACATATAATTTCCTTCTTTCCATAATCTAGCTTTTCTTAGTTGTCAAACCCATACATTCACTTTTTTTCTTTCTTCAGCATGAGTCCATAAGGGGTTTCCAATCACTAATAAATGAGGTTATTGTTGTTTCCCTAATCAGACAAATCAATTTTGCCAGTTCTGTTTTATTCTCTCATCTTGACCAACCATTCCTCCATTACAGATATTTCAGAACTGTTCCAGTGCCCTTTCCTAATTGTCTATATATCAGTCTCAGCAAGAGAAGTTTTTGTTCCAATTAAATATTGATCTTCAAAATTATTTCTAAGTGGTCTGTTTCTCATGAGAACTGATTCACAATAATAAGAGCTTGTAAGGTATTTTAGGTGCCCATTTTAAAAGCTAAAGAACATTAGCTAATTGCATCCTGGTGGGTTTTCTCTCTCTCTCTCTCCCTCCCTCTCTCTTCATTTCTGAGTTCAGAAATTGGCTGCAGAATAATAATATAACAGAAATACTGAAGAAAAGAAGAAAATTTCCAGGCAGAAATTGCAAGTCTTCACTTAGGGTGTTTATTTTACTTAAACCTAGACTCCTTTTTAAAGAGCTGTTAGACCAAGGCATTGGAAAGTTTGTCTCTATCATGTTTGGTTTGGGCCCAAATACATACTTAAACACTGCTTAGGAGAGAAGTTCTTTCATATTTTAAAATAAATATTTAATATGTATTGCTACAAATGAAATAATTGAGATACATAATGTCTTTATAAACTACTGGGATCTCCCTCTTTGTTTTTGTTTATTCAAAATGGTTTAATAAATAAAAAAGAAAAATAAACATTAATTAAATGGAATTGTAATTGCTGTTACTGATAGTCTGGCAACATTGATGTCGAACAAGTCATGAAGATTTGAAAGCATCTGAACGGCAAAACTTAAACTGTGCAAAATTTTTGAAAAGTGTTACAGAATTCCTAACAAGAATACTTCTGGGTGGAATTAAATAGGCAACATTACACAATAAGGGAATTCAGGGAAGAATTCTTGTCAGTTATGAACAAATTACTCAGCGGCCTCACCCTCAACCATTAGCTTAGCCCATCCCTTCCTAGTAATATTTTAAAAAAGAGACTAATTTTTTGGATCATATAGCAACAGCAATAGCATTTAGACTTACATACCACTTCACAGTGTTTTACAACCCTCTCTAGCAATTTATAGAGTCAGCATATTGCCCCCAACAACCTGGTTCCTCATTTACCAATCTCAAAAGGATGGAAGGCTGAGTCAATCTTGAGCCTAGTGAGATTCAAACTGCTGAACTGCAGGCAGCTTGCAGGCAGTAGAAGTAGCCTGCAGTACTGCATTCTAACTATAAATACATCTAACATACTTATGATTTATAACAGCAGTTATCAACTAAGGGTCAAATGAATATTTCTGTTATAACAATGATATGACAACTAGACAAAACTAGATCTAAAAATGAAAGAAAACTAGAATAATTAGTAGGCCCAGAGGATTTGACTATAGAAATTGCATCCATGTACGTACTTAATAGTCATTTTATCTATTTGAAGAGCCTTGTGATTTAATAAGCCTTTTCTGGAAATGATGCCCAACTAAATGATAAGTATCTGATTTACAGATAGAACTCTAGGAACAGAAACTAGATTGTAACTATGACAACATAAGTGAATTAAAATGTGCATCTGCTGCAAATAAGTAGAGCAATCAGCTCCACCTATTTGCAATCAGATGGATTTACACAGCATGACAACCATAATGTGGTATCCTCTGTTCTTAACTGAACATATGTGAACTCTAACTGTTGTCATAAACTATCCCTTCTTTTCTTACTTTCTTTGTTTTGAGCCCAGCCATAGAATCAGATATCCAGGGGAGTGGGAAACCTGTGTTTCTGGTGCATGCTAGAAAAATGTCTAATACAGAGGACTATGTTTTAATTCTTCTAATTTATTTGTCCATTAAATAATTAACAATGAATTTCATACCTTTTTCAGGAAATGCCACTTCACTGCTTTCCTCTAGAATACTTAAAATATCCACGATGCCAGATTTCAGGCCAATAAAAAGTGATCTGTCCTGAAATATGCAAATTATTTTAGTTTGCTGAATATAAATGTTGCCTACTTTGTTTTTACTTTAGTATAAAAAAAGGGGGGGGGGTGTTTCAGAATTATCATAGGTCTCAAATCATGTCTTTTTCACCTAATAAAAACAGGTCTGTTTTCAGATAAACAGCCTCTATTCCTAGTTTTCCTTTTCCTGACACCGAGGAATCAAAACAACTATGTACATGAAACTGAAGCATTAAGCATATAAAATTAGTAAAAGTGTTTTTCAGACAATTTCCCATATATTTACTGGTATTGTTCCACACTTTACTATTAACAGCATTATTTTATTAAAGGTAAAGGCAGTTCAGTAACAGTAGTCCAAAATCATGATAAAAAAATATGTCATATGGGAATTTCTGAAAGACAATTTGGCAAGAATTATATTACTTTAGGAAAAATCTCCATCTATAGTGAAAGTGAAAGACAGCTGGTTACATCTACTTCATACTATTTTTTCACAATTTTTTTACTTTGTGTGTAATAAAAGTGCTCGTCATTCAAGGGTCTTGGAATAATAAATTCAGTACAAATATTTTAAAAAAATCTTCATATATGCCTCCACAATTGGAGTCTTTTTCTTTTATATGACTAGCTGCAGAGATATAGCCAGATATATCAAACAACAACATATAGAATCCATACAATGTGATTAGAGGAATCATAAAGAAACAAGCAGTTATAATGAATAAGTAAGTATAGTTCTTTCAATGATATGCCATTCAATTCTACACTCACAATATTATATAACTATTCCTATTACTCACAAGTCTTGTGAAAACAGTCGCATCGTTTGGCAAATAAACTTGAAAGACCAGTTCCAGAGCAGGTAGACTCCTGTAGTGAATCAATTTGTATTTTGGTTTCTGGCACATGATTACCAGCTGGTGATGGATTATATCATGTTGCAAATGGATGACCTATTGAATAAAAACAAATTCAAAGTGACTATATAAATTAAAAATAAAAGCAAGTTATTGGATTAAAAAGTTTTTGGGAGCAAAACACTAATCTTTAAGGAATGTGTTTTGTAATACAAACTTAATAATATCGAATTCTTACAAAACAAGTTTAAAACTCACAAATGTGATTGTGAATTTTTATAAATTGTTGTTATTAAAACCACATGGGCTGACTCAGAATGGTTGCTTGGTAGACTTCCCAAATTCACAAAATTTTACTGTAAGAGATAGTGGCTATATAAGCCCTGTAAATAAATATTCCTTTTATATAAACAAATGAGTGTCAGATAAAGTCTGGGTTTTGTTATTGATTTTATGCTTTTCTTGACATTTAAATTCAGTGAATCAGACACACTTTTACTTCCATTTCTAGGCATTTCAGTAACCTCAACCCATTTTCCCCCCTGAATTCCAGAAGTACCAGTCATGGGAAAAACCATGCCAAATTTGATGTTTAATTCATAACATTTTAGGAGTTGGTAAACCAAGTGTTAATGGATATTGAAATTTCGCAGTTGAAAAAAATCCCCACTGAAGTAACTGAAGAAATCCTTTGGGTGCAATACAGATCTCTGTATATATACAGTATATGCAACCTTCTGTGCATAGATCAAACAACTGTGTCTCAACCTTTATTACACAAGGACACAGCAAATCAAGATACTATAAACATGTAGGATTATTCTTGCAGCAGCTTTTGATAACTGAAATGGTAATTTTTGTGTAACTGTACTGAAATTTTCCTGACAGCTTTTAACATTCTAAAATGGATGAAGATCTGTCCAGTGTAGTAAATCCTGGTGATATCCATTTCACACAACCAAACCTTACTTGAAAATCATGACCTTGTAAATTTATAATTCTAAGTGGCAATATACTGAATTTTGAAACAAGAAACTGATTAGTGACTAATTTTGAAACAAGGAAGTGAATATATCCTTGTGCATATATTTGGCACTAAATTAAAAGAAATATTAGGAAAGATGTACTTACAGGATCTTCATAAGTAGCCATCTCATAATATACCAAGTTTTGAACAGATGTATGGAGAAATAGAATTCTTCCATCCTTTTAAAAGAAATATTATACCCGATATGATGAAAATCAGATGTACCACATGAACACACTCAAAAACACACATATATACGGAAATCCACAAACTGAAATTTTCTGTGGGAGCATTACGGGATGCTTTCTCATCATACCACTGTGTTCAGGAGGCAATGATTTTATGTTATTCATTTTATATGAATAAGCTGCTTAGAATATTTAAATCCTTGAAAATAAACGTTTTATAGCTCAGGGTTTTTCAAAGGCGTTTCATGGAGCTCTAGCATTTCATAAGAACTTGATGGGGTTTCTAGAAAGACTAAGGGCAAAAAAAAGTCATTCAAATGCAGCCAACTTTTTATCTCTAGAGTTTTGCCCCTTGATCAAGGATTCTGGGAAGTTTTAAACATACAAGTACTGCTGCCTGAAAAAGTTCAAAGACCTTGTTATAGATATTTGCACTTTAATAAAAAATCACCAAATAAAAATCTATTGACTAAATCTTAAATTCAACCTCAGATTTTTTTAATAATCTTCGGGTCACAACTATCAAAATATAAGCGAACTACTCTACAATAACCGAGAGATACATCTAATGACATACAAAACTCTGTGGCAAATTGAAATAATATAACTTCACATCTCATATGTACATTAATGAAGGGATGAGATACAAAATTGCTTATCCTTGTTTTCAGTAATCCTAAAATGATATACAGTAGCTAAATTTATTTTGTGTGCTGATTACACTGTTAAAAAGTTTCTTTTAAGGTATTGAACAAGTATACTGAATACTGCATTTTACATAATGCCTGAACATCTAAACAAACTAAAATATGTATTTATACCTAACTTTAATTAATTGCTATACTTGCTGAAAATACACTAAACACCTCAAATATAATTACTGGTTGCCACCTAACACGAAAGACAAGGAATATAAAACTAATGAAAGTTTATGCCCAATAATTAAACTCATCCTAAAACAACAAATCTAAGTTTTATTTTATTTAATTTTAATTTTACCTAATCAAACTTTGATTTATTGACTCAAAATATAATTTAATCTTCTCATCACTCCTTATCACCCATCCCTTCCCACTTGTGACTGTATGGCTGTAACTTTGTTGCTTGTATCTTTACGATTTATATTGACTGTTTCCTAGTATGATTTGATTGCTTATTGTACTCTATGACTATTATTAAGTGTTGTACCTTATGATTCTTGACTCTTGATGAATGTATCTTTACTTTTATGTACACTGAGAGCATTTGCACCAAAACAAATTCCTTGTGTGTCCAAATCACACTTGGCCAATAAAGAATTCTATTTAAATGATTGAATGAATTTTAAATATTTCCTAGAAAAATGAAATTTCAGTATTCCCTAGAATCACAGAATGTTAGGTTTAGAATAATCTGGTAATACCCTGTCCAGTTAGGCAACCCTTAATATTGCCTCTCTGGCATATGGCATTCAGCCTCTTTTTAATAATGCTTCCTTCACTAAACAGCCCACCACTTCTCATGGCAATCTGCTCCATTGCCTAACAACTCTTATTATTAGGAATTTTTCCCCCTGATATTAAGCTAAAATCTACTTCTTTGCAGTTTGAACATGCTTTCTTCTCCTATCTTCTAGAACAAACCTGAACATTTCTATATCACAATTCTTTACATGTTTGAAGATAGCTTTCACATATTCTTCGCCAGGCTAAACACAGCCACTTCAAATCATTCCTTATAGCTTTTTGAATTCCAGATCCTTATCATTTTGGTTTTAGTCCTATGGACATATTTTGTCAATGCTATCGGGCTCACCTGATACTATTTTATAATCTCCATGCAGTGGTTAACCCCTTTTTTCTTTTTATCTCCTTGGGTGAGTTTGCTCACTTTCCTCAATCTCAATGCCCATTTCCTTTCATACTCAACTTTTCTCCTTTCATATCAACCAAGCTTTTTAGTCTAGCATTTTTTCTCTCATACTGATCCAAGCAAGCAGATTTTTTAAAATCTGATACTACTTTACCTTTATTAGATATCGTGACTCATATTACTTTCCTGAAAAATATAATTCGATGCGTGACGGTACTTTAGAGCATGCCAATACATATGAGCTCTACTAGATAAATCTAACTGTAAAATCATTTCAACAGGAAGACTAAAATTACTTTTATTAAGACTACAATAACAGAATCTTAGAAATTGATTGTGTATTATGTATTGACTTTTTTAATGATCAATAATTTAGGAAGGAATATTTTTATTTTTAATATTTGTGAAACATGCCAAAGTTGTTACCATTTGCAAATAAATTCTAATAGCAAATATACACAAATCTATATCCAGCTGTATTTTTACCTGCATACCGAGAACCAGAAATTCCTGATTATCTGCATATATCATTCCTTCATCCACCAAGTAACATAATGAGGAGGACAAGCTGCAGAGGCATTCACATTTTGCTGAAGTTCTAAAGTTCCTTTTTTGTGTATGTTGAAAATATCCATTTTTCTCAATACATCTAGGAAGATATATTGAGATACCTTTAAATCAATAAGTATCTATCAGTTGTAAGTCAATTTACTTGTATAAAAGAGAATAGTTTCATAAAGCAATTTTGATCAATGCTGTTTCGCATTTATCAGACACAACTATTCATTATCAATTGTTAGTCATAATATACAACGTGAACGTATCATTTTCCTAATAAAGTTATTCCATCCCAACAGCAAAAGTGAGCAGACACCTGCAAATTACTATTTCAACATGGTAGGCAGTAGCTTTTTCCCTTCCCAAAGAAGCTGTTTCCCTGAGTTGCTAAGAGTCTAGCAGCATATAAATTTAATCATTTGTTATTATTATTTTAAGAGATTACATGGGGAAATGTAGTAGCCCCTGGTCAGGGATCATTTCTATTTAAGTGAAAAACTTCTCCAACCATTTGTAGACAAGGAGAAACATCTTTATATTTTAGTTAAAATCTCTGCGTCAATCTTGTTTCATTTTTGTGGGTTCTTTTCTTCTTTTGAGATATTATTCCTTGGAAGCATATTTACCCTATTGTTTATCTCCACCCACCCACCCCAAAAAAAAATATTGTGGAGTTTCTCTGCTTTGGTTACATCAACAAAATTAAACTTCAGGCATGATATTCCCCTCTGAAAAAAAAATCGGGGCCGGCCAAAAGAGACCCCCCACCGCGCGCCAAGAAATCGCCTGCCCGCCCGCCGCTCGCCCCGCCCACCCGCCGCTCGTTCTCCCCGCGTCGGGCTAAGGGTGGTTTCCGCTGCGAGCGGCTCAGACCCCAGGGCAACTTCCACCTTCTCCTCCTGGAGCAGCCCAGCCTCGCCTTTCTCCGTTCTCCCCCTCCCCAAACCCGGACTAATTCCAAGCCTCTGGAGTGCAAGTTTCAAACCCACTTTGCAACGAGGTTCGCTTCCTTCTCGCATTCGCTCCCGCATCTCCACCGCCCGCCCTGCGTGCGCTCTTTCGGGGCCGGCCAAAAGAGACCCAGCGCCGCACGCCAAGAAATCGCACACACACACACCAACACCCTTCCTTTCCAGCCGGTGGTGTGGATCAGCTCCGGAGCTGGGCAGCTGCTTCCCTGCTCCTGACTCAGGGGACCTCCAAGGGGAGAGGAAGGAGGAGAAGAAGGGGGGGAGGGGGGCGCGATGAAAAATCGGAATTCCGATTTTAATCGGAAGAATATCATGTATGAAATTTAAAAGTCTGTTCTAAAATCCTTTGTTCTGATTAGTTTATCTTTGCACAAATCCAAAAAGAAAATCTTTCCCCTACACAAAAATGTAACCATCCCTATTACTTTGCATCCCTATTACTTTAGCTTATTGTGTATTCTGATTTCTTTACTGCTTGCAAAGATAACAGATACAAACTTTAAGCTAGAGTTCTAATTTCCATTTCTGCTCTTATCAGATGTTTCAATAATTTACTTAAGTTCTCAGATAATGACTTTATTTGCATGACATGGCTGACTCAATCAGCCAGATAGCTCTCTTAGGTAAGTATTTATCCCTCTGCAGACAACCCAATCAGTTGATCAGGTCTGATGGAGAGCAGTCTTACAGCTACTCCAAAAAGGTAATTGGGAAGCTCTTATTTCCTGTGGGTTTTTTTAAATGAAACAAAACAGGCTTCTGCTTGGATGTAAGATTGAGATTGCTTTGGTCATTGTGCTATGAAAGGGAAACGCAGTCCTATTAGTTCTCTTTGATCTCTTTGTAGGATGTCAGCTGGGTTTGCACCAAGCATTAGCAATTTTCATTCTTCACTTTCAGGCCATGTGCAGAAGATGTTGAATGATTATGGGACCTTAAACATTGTTCTGGCTGCTCCAAAGAGCTAAATAAGGTAGTCTTAACAATTTTATCCAGCAACACTGTGCAGAGGCATTTTTTTCATTCTTTCTGATTCTTTGGATCTTTCCCCATCTTTTTGTGTGATTATGAAAGGCTTTCTGAAAAAGCCCAGTCTCTATTCTCTGGAAAGCCATTTGGGGGGGACTATCACAAGATCAGACCATCTTCCTTCTGATCCAGAAGCTACCTAGTTTTTCCATTATTACCAATTACCGCAGCATAAGAAATAACAGTTCTAAGTTTTCATGCACAGCCTTAAACAACCTAAAAACACAGTTCATATACTGTGAGATAAACTTTTGCCTTTTCATTTGTAATCAAACCTACACCTTCACATCCCTACATTCATTCAACTCTCTTCCACTTCATTAGATCATTTTCCTTCAGACGTAAAGAGTATTCTGCAAGTCAATATAGAGTATTTGACATCCCACCACCAACTTAATGTTCTAATGCTGATACACGCTAATGATGCAGTGTGCTGTTAATTATCATGGTAGTTTGCACATGTTATCTCTATGTTGAAAATCCTATACTGCTTTCAGCTTCATTCTGGCCACAATATATAATGTTGCTTTTGACCTAAATATCTTAGGACTTGACTAAGGGGCCATGACTGGGTACTGATATCTGGGGAAACCTCCTAAAAATGCTTTCATTTTTGTTTGTTGCTCCAGTTCTATGGCATGAAGTTTCTTGAAAGATACCACTAATTGCTACTACTGTTTAAATTAAAGACTTTATCTAGATCTATGATTTTTAATTTTAAAGGTGTTTTTATCCTTAGCTATCTTCTGCATTTTCTGAATAGAAAGGATAATTATAAATGCAATAAATAAATAATTTTCTAAATGATCACTGCATTAGAAATTTGTAAGGCAAAATTATGGTGTGTTTTGAAGAATGAATTATATAAACCCAATATTTTAAATGTAGTGCGCTAATACCACCAAAATGTCTTGTCTTGAACAAACCAATTTTTTAATGAACTTCTCTATAACATATGAAAAAGCTGTCTAACAATTTGGTTTAATTACAACAAAAATTAAAGATACTTGCGAAGCTAAAGGGTGTTTTCGATGTAAATGTTCTTGTAGTTCCCTTGTGGTCCATACTGCTGCTCTACATGCAGGATCAGTCCTAAAAACGAAACCAACGTCAGGTGTATAATACCAGTAGCAATAATAATGGGTTTAACTAAGATTAAATTGAAATTAAGTATTGTATTAGAAGTAATTAACACCAAAAACATACATTGCATACAAAATGCTGTTTTCATTTTTTTAAAGTTTTTATTGTAACAATAAAAATGAAAGATAGGAAGCTGCGTTTGACACTGAAAGCAGGAAAAAATACTCTGATAATTTCATTTGGGAAATTATTTTTTGAGCTGTCTTTTGATGTTGGTTTCATTGTCTTTTCACGTTAGAATGAACAATGTGGCGAAAAATAGTCCTTTATATTCCATGTTCTCACTAACTGTAGCTGCATATGTTGACATGAATATACAATCAACTGTTTTTCAGATTGCAACACAATATAAGAAATTGCAGGTGTTTTTTTTTTTTTAAATTTTGTGTCAGCAATCCCTTTAAATATTATTTTTCAAGTGCTTCAAAAACCAGAAAGTTGGTCATTATCTTACCCAGGGATGAAATTCAACCACCTCAGCCCACCTGGGGAGAGGAGGTAGGGACGATTTGAATAGGTAAAAAAATCCCCCCTGGTTGCTATTACTATTACGGCAAGTATACCAAGCCATGCCCACAGCCACGCCCACAGAGCCGGTAGGGAAAATTTTTGAATTTCCCCCCTCACAGGCAAAGATAAGATCTTTTGAAAATTAATACAAACTATTTTTTAGGAATTAAGGATGCACAGCATCTGTAAATAATCAGAACTGACATTTAAACCAATATTCATTAAGCACATTGTCAGAGGCAATGCATTTTTGTCAACAATTTCTATATAACAACCAAAGGCTCTGATTTAAAAAGAATAGGGAAGTGGGGCCAGTCAGAAGGGCTGATTAAAAACCAAATGGAAATTTAAATTATAATTAATTTTAAATTAATATTATGATTTTCTTATCTTAGCCAGCAATTTTGGCCAAGAACTCTTTTATAACCAAAAAGCATAGAGCTACTGTTGATTTCCCTTCAAGTCCTGGTATTCTATCTCATTATGAAAGACTGTTATTCCTAGAGGGGATCACTAAAGAATACAGGGACTGTACATCAAGAATATATATACCTGGTAGGATTGCCCAAGAAAAAAGGTCACCCTAACTATTCAGCTAAGCAAGCACATATATTGGACAGCAAAGATATCGGAAAATACTGGAGACTGATAATTAGTTTCTAGTCAGCCTTATTATTCAGACGATAGCTTGCTATTTCTCTTATTTTTTGCCCATATTCAAATGTAAATTGAAAATCAAAAGTTGGAACTGTGAACACTTGGAAAAAAATTATAAAAGTATCATAGATTTCAAGATGGCCTATTACTATGGAGTTGGAAGCAAATTCATATTCTTGTATATGAATTTTCTTTTACCAAATTAACAGTTCAATTATTTTTATTAATTAAAAACACAACACAACACAATTGGCACAACACCAGGGGTGGGATTCTAGCGGTTCTGACTGACTATAGAACCCCTTGTTAACTTTCTAAGCAGTTCGGAGAACCTGTAGTTAGAAGCAATCTCCTTTTGTTTTTTTCCACCTATATTACATTCTTGGAGACAGCCTAGACTTCCTGTCTCCTGAGCTTATGAGGCTTGGCTTTCTTAAAGGGGAAGTGTTGCTTTAAGATTTTTACACTGCTGTTGGTAGGAAATACTTCCCTGGACAATCAGCACTTTGAAGAAATATTTGAATAATGAAGCAAAGCTTTTAGTGACAGGGAACCAAAATGAGTGACATTCACCAAACCTTCTTGGCTAGCTAGAAAGATTGACTTTCAAACATGAGTTTATATACCCTTTCTGAGTTTTGGTCTAAAACTGGTTTTTGGTGAAGGTTAATTCTGTGCTTGGTGACGTTTAATCCTATGTTTATTGATGGGATAATTTTCCCTATTCACCTTCAACAAGCAACAGCTACTGTTGTGATCTAATTATTTGTATTGTGTTTGAATTTTTTCTTGCATCATGGTTTCTTTTTCTATCTGGGGAGGGGGTCTTCCTTCACTGCTTTAGTACTATCTGGCACTGTCCTTTTGGGGTATACTTCCAAGAGGCAGGATGCAAGCTTGGCACTGATTTTTTTTCCTGCCTTTCTGGGGGGCATGTGACCTTTCCTTAAATCTGGATGATTTCCTTAGGATATCTTGTGAGGTGAGTGAGACTAGCTAGTGTCTTTAAGTGGTGCAAATGGATCTAAGGATTGCTTCTCCTGGGTAATGCTTTTTCTGGAGAGCTTAAATGACCTCTCTGTTAAAGGTTTCACTTTATGAGCAAGAGATGGCTGCTTGATAATTATCACTGCATTTTAACTATTTTCATTCCTCAAGGTGCTCTGGCACCCTGCCTGATTTTGTAACTCCGGCTTGCAGGTATTTTTAATCTAATGATTGATATTTAGGGCAGCTTTTTGCAAGCAAAGAACCTTTTTGTATTTTTGTACAGGTAACCCTTGACTTACAACAGTTCATTTAGTGACCATTCAAAGTTATAGTGGCACTGAAAAAAGTGACATGACCATTTTTCACACTTATGACTGTTGCAGCATCCCCACTGTCATGAGAGGCCAGGCAAGGTGAAGCGCCCCTTGACATGAGTGATGTTGAGTTGGCCACGCCCACCCAGTCACATGACCACCAAGCTACACCCACCAACAAAGCCACGCCCACAGAACCAGCTGTTAAAAAACCTGAATCCCACCCCTGCACAACACAATTATACAATAAAGATGTAAAAACAAATAAGTGTTTTTCAACTGCTTTGTTTACATTTGTTAAAATGTTTTCATTTCCTAAGATAACTGAAGCTGAAAACTAATGTATGCATGTTTCATTTTAGTTCTGAAATCCATCAGCAAAACAACTAATATTTCTTTTTCATTGAAATTAGCTCCACGACATTCTGATATTATAAGCCTTGGCCCATTTCTATAAATTAATGCCATCAATTCCATCCATATATTACATTTTAAATATAGACAATATATTTGCAATTTTTCTCTCTTAGGTTTTCAGAACTTAGTACTAGGAGAGACAAGATAGTAGTGTTCCGATATCTCAGGGGCTGCCACAAAGATGAGAGAGTCAAACTAATTTCCAAAGCACCAAAAGGCAAGTCAAGAAACAATGGATGGAAACTAACCAAGAAGAGAAGCAACCTAGAACTAAGGATAAATTTCGTAATGGTGAGAGCAATAAACCAATAGAATAGCTTGCCTCCAAAAGTTGTGAATGCTCCATCACTAGAGGTGTTTAAAAAGAAACTAGACAACCATTTATCTGAAATGGTATAGAGTCTCCTGCTTGAGTGGGGGATTGGATTAGAACATCTCCAAGGTCGCTTTCAACTCTACTATTCTATGTCCTTTTCTATGTTCAACTTTTCTCATTTTTCATATCTAACTCATTAACCTCTGCTAAAATAATATCTATTTTCAATTGTTATTAAAATAGAGGTATCATACTTTCTCTTACTTTGCTGTATAAATCCATATATCATAGGGTGTCAATAGAAAATAAACAGTTCCACAAGTTCGGTTGTAGGTAAAGCTGAGAACTGGCTGTAGCATAGGAGGATAAGGAGGTGGCAAAACGGTGCATAATTTCTTCCCAGTTTGAACAGAAAATATTCTTAAACTTTGAAAATAAACAGAGCAAATTTAGTAAACATTATTTAAAAAAACCATTTCAGAGTTATTACATAAAATAAAACTTAAATATTTTGTTGTCATACCATGCTTCCATATAGTCAATCATCATAAATTAGGGTAGTTTTAGTTATACAGTATATGGTAACATAAGCCATGGTGGCACAGTGGTTTGAGTGCAGTACTGCAGTACTACTTCTGTTGACTGCAGGTTGCCTGCAATTTGGCAGTTCAAATCTCATCAGGCTCAAGGTTGACTCAGCCTTCCATCCTTCTGAGGTGGGTAAAATGAGGAATAGGCTGACTCTGTAAACTGCTTAGAGAGGGCTGTAAAGTGGTATTAAGTCTAAGTGCTATTACTATTGCTATTTTAACAGATATTGTTATCCACAAGTGTACTTATTTGGGGACTATTTCAGTTCTTATCAGAATTTAGTTCATATTAAAAACATCAATATCTAGCAAAAATCCTAAAAAGGTTTAAAGGAAGATTGCCACTTTTATTACTATTTTACATACCTGTTATCAACAGCCATTGCAGCCACCCTGTTGGATTTCCCAACAGCACTACAGATGTGGAAGTGGTTTATTGGGCTGTTGACATGACTCCAAAAGTTGGTAAATGAATTCAGATCATAAATATGAACATTATGGGCAGAGCAGCAGTAAAGAAATTTATCTTCCATCGTGCCAATTGAAAGTATTCCTTCTTGGAAGAGAGATAAGCTGGATAAAGAAGAAAAGCAGTATAGACCAAATGTAAGAAGAAAAAAAGGAAGTCACCTGGCAGTTATGTACTGCTGAAGCAACCAGTTTCAAATGTGCGACAGAACAAAATATGCATAAAATAATAATTTGTACAATTGTACCAGAGACTTCAATAGATGTTTTAGAATACAACTCCCATCATTCCCAGTAGGGAGGCTGAAGGGAATAAGAATTATACTCTAAATACCTGAGGTAATTTGTTTGAAGGCTGTACTTTCATCAATAAATGAACAAATTACATAATTTATTAAATTTTACATTCCTCTTCTTCTTCTTGTGCCACATCCGTCATTGGACGTTGGGAATCATGTTGGCGATCCTATGATTGCCAAGTCTGATGACGGATGTAATAATTTCTGTATAATCACAGAAGATTACACAGAAAAGTGCAAAACACATTCTGCACAATTTTTATTTAACTCCACCTGAAAGCTACTATAGTTATGCATCATTGAGGTATTTATAATGATTCGTGCAGTCCAACATTTGATAAAAAAAATTCTTTATGGATACTAATTCAAAACAACTTTATATGTACTCCTATCTATGTTAACTCCAGCTTACTTTGAAGCCTATTTTGCACTACAAATTTAATATTTATATTCTATTTATATTTTATATTCTAAAAGCTTAATACTAGCCTACTTATTGTATGTAACTGATACGAAATTGATCCAAAGATATCCTGTCACCGTAAGTCCTTCTGCACATTTTAAAACTGTTAATAGAATGTCTCAATTGCTTTAAGGACATCAAAACTATCTAATTTCTAACCTGATGTTTGTATAGCGTATTATTTCTGTATTTCTTGCTAGAAATCTTTTCCCTTTTAATATGTACAGTGTTGCTGACATTACTCTATCACTGAAATCTTCCATAACATTTGCCTAGCTCATGAAAATTGTCTGCTTTTCCCAGGAAGATTTTTTTTAACCATAAGTCTGATTCTTATCTTCAGTTTCATCATTTTAGTTTCATCTGAAACCAGAGCAGGTAATTCTATCTGCAATCAATCCTCTCCCCATGGCTCCATTAAATTCAATATTTTGTAATGGAATTTCTATAACCTGATATTTTTATATGCATTTTTATAGCTGTTCTTTGTTTTCCTATCAAAAGGCTTCTCAATGCAAATTTAACACTATATCACCATTTTTAAAAGCATTTATTTATATTTTTATAATTCCCTTGCTATTACTTTTCAGCTTTTTTTGTTTTATGTATGTTTTTTTTTTGCAAGCTAACCAATATTTCTTTTAAAAATTAAGACATAGTTTAAAGGCTATTTAATTGTTTAAAGGGAATGAAGAATTTTAATTAACTCATAATCTGATGTACCTATAGTGGATTTAAAGCAGGGGTGAAATTCAACCACCTTGGCCCACCTCAGGAGAGGTGGTAGGGATGATTTGAATCGGTAAAAAATTGCCCCTGGTTGCTCCTGGTTGCTATTACTATTATACCAAGCCACGCCCACAGCTACATCCACAGAGCCGGTAGGAAAAAAAATTGAATTTCACAAGGAAAGTTTAGTTACTAGTTACTTCCAAGATAACAAGACAAAACAATCTGACATTCTCTGCATGTTCCAGAGCTGCAAAGTATACTCACAATTATAGCACTGTGAATGTTTTTTTAAAATTTTGAAATGCCCTGATTTTTTTTTTTAAAGAAATACATATTTTAATAATGGGAAACAGGCGGACTGATGCTCAGGAAACTTTCTTTGTAACAGTGTCTTTGGAATCAATCCAGGAGATATGCAGATTTTTTTTAAAAAACCAGCTACCTGTAAAAAGAATCCATATTATCAAATGACCAGAGTTTGACTGATCCATCGAGAGATCCAGAGATAAATAAAGAAGTAGTGTTTGGGTGCAGCAGAAGCTTTGTAACCGTTTTGGAATGACCTTGAAATACATGGAGCAAGCAGCCTTGGTCATTCCAAGATTTTACTGGATTAAAAAAGACAAGAAAAACAGAGATCCAGTTACATGTATAAAGTTGGAATCCACATATGCAAGATGGGCAGCTATATGCGTTGGACAAAGAAACAAACTTTCCAGGGAAGGGAGAAAGGAGCAGGTGGGGGGGCTGGACAAACTGGTTAGGGCTGAGTTGAGAGGAAGAGATCACTGGATAGAAAAAACAGGAGCCCCATTTAAATATTAAATAAAGTGTTAATAATAATTAGAAATTATTAGAAATAATTAGATATTACTCTTCCAAGCAGTAGTTAATCTTTAAACTAATATTGAAAAAAATATCCACAATCTTCCAAGTAAAAGTATGTAATTTGCTCTTTATTTTCAGTAACGTAAGATTACCCTCTCCCGCCCCATCCTCATCTCCAAATTACAGGAAAATATATATGGGGAGAAATCTCATCTTCTTAGAAGTTAACTGTAACATATATTCCTTTTAAGGATGAATTGCACATTAGAATTCATAGAATAAAACAGATTTTTAAAATTGCAAATTTCTTTCGTGGGTTTAATAGAATAGTTAGGAGAATTAAGAAGAAATTTGGGAGGGAAGTAGGCAGTTAAAAGTATAAAAAAATACATACATAAATAGTAAATAAACAAATTTCACTTTGTAGAAAGCAAGCTCAAACATCTGGGTACTAGCTCCAGCTAATCTTATCCATGCCAAGCATATAAATCCTTTTAAAGGTTATCTTACATATATTTTTATATATCTGCCTGTCTTCACTGCATAAAAAGGTAGTATCTTTTGAGGTGTCACCCATTGTTCCTGTTCAATTTTCTGAAAAATGTACAGGTAACTAAATACAGTACATTAAAATATCAGTTCTACATCAGCAGTGCAAATTTCATAATATTAATGAACATCTTTTTGTTAATACCATTAGAAGTTGATTAAAATAATTGAATCAATAACAAGAAACAGTACACACACACACGTTTTTCGTTGCCAACTTACTTTCATTGCCTTTTGAAGCAGTAAGCAAAATGTTAAGATTAGATGAGTAGACACAAGAGATAATAGATCTTTCATGTGCATTGAGTATCTCAAGTAGCAGTTTCCCATTGATATCATAGCAGAAAAAGTGGCCTCCAGAAAAGCAGTAATATCTTTGCAAAGTGATATCAAAATCCATATTTGTACACCATTTCTTCCCCATGTGTGGATATTCTGTACTACAATTCAAAATAATAGCAAAATATTGAATTATTAAAATGCCATAAAAAATTTTTAGATCTGTTTTTCTTAACAAAAAAAAGAGAGAACTCTTTCAATCAGATAGGAAAGAGATTCCCAGCATTTTAACAAGTAAAAGCGTATTTTTTTCTACAAACCCATAACAGTGCTATGAGAAAATAATATCAATAATTTCTCACTAATATTTGGTGAAAACTGAGGTGATTGTGTTCTGGCAGAACAAAATCTGAAACGGTTTGAGTGCTTTTTGTATTTTAAGCATGAAACAAAATTTCTGAAATGTATACATGTTGCATAGAGAACAAAATACATGAAATAGCTAATTTCAAGCCTAGGAATGGCGTGGAATTCATTGTGACTTTATAGTACTCAACTGCAAACTGCAAGAAAAATATGGGATTTGTTTTGAAAGTCAGAATACTCAAAATGGTTGTTCTAAGTTCAAAATGTTTTGTGCACTTAGCAAATATAACACGAACAGAGGAATTTAATTTTGTCTCCTATTCTTATGGTTAGACATAGTTTTCTTAGCATTATACTGCATTCCCATATATTTAAGTTACATAATTTGTGACAAAATATAATAAAATATCAATATTTTTCACTAATATTTGGTGAGAACTGAGCTGACTTGATTCAGAACAAAATCAATAAAATCAAAACATATACAGAGATTTATCTCATAGCTACGGAGTATGTTGTTCAAAGTTCAGAGGAATAATGTACCTAAGGAAAAGACTGTAATTGTACATTGGAATAGGATTCAAATCAAGTGGGAGCTTCTTTTCTTTAAACTTCCAAGTCTAAAAGACAGAAAGAAATATAAATATATGTATAAGCTTACATAAATATACATAAAATAAACCAACTATGATTTGATATTTGAAGTGGATATCCAGAAATTTAAGGAAAAATAGTGTAACACAGTGCTGAGACATAATGGGATTATAGAGAAGTTATGGTTTTTTAAAAGAACTGATTATTGAGTTCTGTAATATCAATGAAAGAGAATATTGTAGATCAGGGTTGAAATGAAGGGTCCTCGCCGTTCTCATTCTCGATGTTACCCAGTCTGGGTAATGAAATATCTGCAAGAAAATAACCAAACTTAGAGAGCACCCAGGAACCCTGAGATCTGTGGGAAAAGATCCAATTCATAGCAATGGCTGCCTTCATTACATTTCATCCATACCTGTTTTTCTCTGGTGAGCACGATACACTTTGTTGACTAATTCAGAAAGATAAACTAGTCTATTCTCAAAATAAGTGCTTGGATAATATATTCATAGAATTACATACATTTTGATGGGAGGATAACATGAGCCTTACTTCTTTCTCGAAGCCAATAAATCCAATAAGTCGAGAAGAAAGACAGAGAAATTATATTTTTATGGACCAGATTGTTCCTTTTTGAATAAAATTCCTGCATTCAACAGTACCTGAAAGAAGCCCCCAACTTCCTAAGATCATTCTGATCATAAGAGGTTTCTGATCTACAGACCCCTCACATCCTGGACATTAATTGTTTCAACTTCTGCCCTCAAAATAACATTATAGAGCATTGCACACAAAAACAACTAGACTGTCAGGACTCCAACATGCACCCCCATTCAAATCCTAAGTCTCTAGCCTCATCTCTCAGAGTAAAAAAGATTGATTTATTAGGAGTTGACATGTTGGCGTTTCCCGGTTGCAGCTGACTCTGACACATCATTCATTTCACCCTTGACCCTGATCTTCCCCCACCCTCTGGATGTATATTCTCCAATGAGACACAACCATAGCCAAGAGTCATCAAACATGATCTCCAGTAATAATTGTGTGCACCAGAAGCTTCAGCTGCCAAAGTGATTATCTGAAGCATTTAAACTCCCTTTCTGATTGCAACTAAAACGACCAAAGAAGTGTTTTTAGTTGACATAGATCAAAGGACAGTTTTTCCCCACAGGCTCACTTTGCTAAACAACTAATTCACACAACACTGTCAAACTATTTACTAAGACAGAATTCTTCTTCTCATCCTTCCTATTATCTATCTCCTTTTCCCACTTATGACTATAACCTTATTGCTTGTATCTTGCGGTTTATATTGTTTTATTTAGTTTCCTGGTATGATTTTGATTGCTTATTTAGTATCCTATGATTATCACTAAGTGTTGTATCTTATGATTCATGATGAATGTATTTATGATGATTATGATCATGATTCATCACTTACATCTTTTATGTACACTGAGAGCTTATATGCCGAAGACAAATTTCTTGTGTGTCCAATCACACTTGGCCAATAAAGAATTCTATTCTATTCTGTCATACAGAGTTATCAGGAATAACAGATAAATATGTAGGGCTTTAAATAGCAAGATATAGTTTCTCCTGGTTTTATACAGATCCCTTCCCAAACATCCAGTTTCTCATATTACTGATCATTTCAGCAACAAGCCAACCTTTCAATAAGGAAGAAATAAACCATCACCTTCACTCCAGTGATTCCTCCGCTGATAAGTTCCTCTTTCACTGGGTTAAATGATATGAATGTCATTCGTCCTAAACCTGGATTATCTATAGAGCAAATTTCAGCATAGTTCTTGTTGTAAACCTTAAGAAACAATTACTGATATCAAATGTATGTATCAAAAATTTAGTGGAATACAAAACAAGCAACAAACCAAGAATTTAATTATATACCCAATAAACTTTTAGGAGCTGAAGACTTTCCTTTTAAGGATGGTTTTAGCACATATACTTTATGCTGTTTATTTATTTTTATCAATTTCTGCTTTTTAAGAACTATTGGTTTTATCTTCTGTTTTCTACTTTTTATTTGTACTTTATAGCAATAATGTTCGAATGTATTTGCTGGAATTTTAGAATTCTGTAAAGGACATGGATATAATTTTTTTTAAATACCAAATCAGCATTTAAGCAAGAAAACAAGTAAGAGAGAAAACTTGTTGTTTAAAACAGAGCCAACACTGCAAACAAAATGCCATCTACCAAAGATACATATGTTACCGTCAATATGTGAAATTACACATTTTATAGAATACCTAGGAAATTTATAGAATGCCAAAAATGGGATATCAAAGTATGAAATCCTTAATATTTCACACATTTTCAATGCATTCTATGGAATGCTAAAAAGCAAATCTGCGAAGTATAAAATATTCCCACTAAAATGCCATTCTAGCCTTTCTTGATGCAACAAGTAGGTAAATTCTAATAGTAAATTGTAAATCTACCATAGTAAATTGTAACAATATATCTCTCAATTTGTTTTAGCATATTCATGCATAGCAACCATTATTTGTTCTCAGAAACTCTCTAGTTTTCAATAACGTTTTTATAGTATCTTAATGTTTATTGTAGTAACAACATTATCATCTGAGGTTGGAGTTAGGATGACTATCACATCCTAAATACATTTTGAATGAATCAATTCTAAACTCAAATCTGTAGATACCAGTTTAATAAATTTAAAGACCTGAAGTCATTGCTGTAGCTATGTTAGAAGTGTCAATTCTTTCTTCATAACAGATAACAGATAATCAGAGTTGGAAGGGACCTTGTAGGTCATCTAGTCCAACCCCCCCCCCAAACGGGAGACCCTACACCATTTCTGACAGATGGCAGTCCAATCTCTTCTTGAAAGTCTCAAGTGATGGCGCTCCCACAACTTCTAAGGGCAAAGTGTTCCATTGGTTGATTGTTCTCACTGTCAGAAAGTTTCTCTTTATTTCCAAGTTAAATCTCTCCTTGTTCAGTTTCCATCCATTATTCCTTGTCTGGCCTACAGGTGCTTTAGAAAAGTTTTTTCTATTCATAGCTTTTTCTATTCATATTTCAAATATTCCAGAAATATCCACCTTAAAAATATTATTGAGCTTTTGATAGGGATATATTATAAGGAAATATATTAGCTTACCTTTATTGCAAAGTCTTTTTGCAGAACAAAGTAAACATTGTATTTTTCAGAGTAAGTGATGATTCTTGCCAAATTAAATTGATACTTTGGAAAATACATCTCTCTTTTAGCTAAAATGTTAAAATAATGATTAAACTGGATAACCAAACTGATTCTTAAATGAATATATAATACTCTTTTCTTAAAAATAATTAACTATCTATGAAGACACTAATAATTGTGTTTCTAAATTGGCTATAGCAAAAGAGAAAACTATTGGATAGAAAGCATAGAAATGCAACTATATTTTTAACAGGCTGTTAAATAAATTACTCCATTTAACCAAGAAGACAAGCAGAGAAAAAAAGGAGTAATGTATACGCCATCAATATGTATACTTGCTTACTTGTGTTGTAGTATATATCCTAGTGCCCACGGTCCAATCTTCCTAGTATAACACAAATCCATACAAGCACACATGCCCATTTAATGCATAAATATAATTTATGTGTTGCATAAATGCTACCTTATTTTGACTCAACATTTTAATGAAAATTTAAAATTCAAATTTAAAAATTTAAATTCATGCATTTCCAATAATTCTGGAATAATGGAAAGAAAATTATTTTCTAAAAGGATTCAAATATTCAGTAAAACACAATCATACTATTATAAATATATTGGTAAACATCAAGAACTCAACAGAGAAATGAAGCAAAAAAGAGTTAATATCAAAGTGTGAAATATAATGCTTGAATAAATCTTACACAGAAGTTCTAGATTCTTATAGTAGGTACAGCTCTACAAATAGACTATATACAATGAAATGGAAGACCATCTTTTGATTCACCTCACCAGTACAATTGGAAGGTAACAAATCCAGACTGAAAAATCCTCTTCCGTCTATCAGCACCAGTTTTTTACTCCTGTTGTTATACGTTGCTACACAGGATTGTGAAAAGGAGTGTTTTTAGATCACAACTATCAACAAAATAATCTTGCTTTGTTTTATAGTAAAAAGCAAAGTGAGATTCAAAAAACAGGGAGGACAATAAATATGAACTCTATGGAGTTTTATGCATAAGCTCTTCTCAAGAGATGCTCCTCTGCAGAAAAAAAGATAACAAGCAAATGTTGTCAAATTACTACTATTCCTGCTTCAGTCTTGGCCCCAAAGGTGCTTTTTCAAAAGGCAATTGGACTTTCTTTGGTTTTTTCCCTTGAAGACGTTTCACTTCTCATCCAAGAAGTTTCTTCAGTTCTGATTGAATGGTGGGGACTGGAAGGATTTATATTCCTTGCAGTTATCTGGTCATTAGCACTCTGAAGGACGATCATTAACTCTCTGAGCAAGAAAAATCAAAGAAAGTCCAGTTGCTTTTGGAAAAAACACCTTTGGGACAACCATGACCTGGATGAATCTCCACAGACATGTTTCAGTCTTTAGTGTAACTTCTTGATGCTGTTTGATGGATCCTCCTATTCTGAAAAGCAAATTGGGAGTAGTGATCTGCATGGACAAATAGAAATAAATTAATATGGCTTCTTCGTTAATTCAAAACTTCTGTGGAATTCCTTTATTTTTTCAAAAGAAAAGATTAAGTGAAGGCAACAGTGTTTCGGTTACAGATTCCAATCAAGGCCACTGACTCAATACTCGTGTCTTCCAAACAATAAGTGGACAGTGAGATAAAGATAAAGGATTAAGGATTTACTCTGTGTCCACTCTTTGCTGATCACTTCAGACGTTTTTTGACTAGGAGATTACTTAACTGAAATCATTTCCTTTTCTCTTTCTTCCTAGGCACTTACATATGGTGCACATGGTTTTTGACTTCTCGTGGTATTCTCGTGGTAGGATATAGTACACTAAGGGTTGAGATCAATCTATGTATGTCTATGGGTGTAAAGTTTGTTTCACTAAATCTTGCTTAACATTAGGTCCTGCTTTTGCTAATGCTCAAATATACAACCCTTTAAATTTCAACGATTTCTCCAGACTTTTTATTTAAATAAGTAACATTTTTCTCTTACCTCCTACTATATCTAGATTATGATAAGGTAAGCTTTTAATAAAAACAAAGCCAAAGGTAAGATAGGTAGTAGTCTTTGCTGTGACTCTGAAACAGAGGGGGAAAACAAATCAAATGTTGGAGCACACTGAAACAGTTTTAGAAATATATCAAAATATATACATAAAATAAAATTTTATATGAAGAAAAATATATCTGAAAGGTATCTATCCTCATCTTTAAAAAATCTTAAAAGGGGAAAACTCATCAACTTAGAATATGCTTAATATTAAAGCTCAAAAGGAAAGCTACATGCTTTTGTTATCCTAAAACCAAAGTACAGAGTACAAAGATGGCTTGCACAAGAAGATGTGGAGAGACCTGGTCCATAGAATTGCCAAGTGTTGGACATGACTGAATGGATAACATCATCATCATCAATAAAATTAGATGGTATTTTGGGTAGATTCCATAGTTGAGATACTTACAAATGTTTTGACTCTTTTAAAAGTAACTCCTCTTCAGGTTGGGCTTCATCTTGAAAAGTTAATCTTCACAAAAATAAAGATTTGAATTAAATAAGGAATTGTTATTATCCTCATTTTTAGCCAGCTAAGTAGAATATTTTAAAAATGAAATTACAACACCTCCTAATACTATGATAGCACACAAAATGTACCACAATGGCATTTTTTTCTAAACAAAACAACATTCTGGAATACAAAATAATGAGAAATGAAGTATTTCTGAGTGTGTCCTAAAAATAAATTTTTGATGAATATTGAGAATCAGCTTTCACTTCTTTTTTAAATTAAAAGCAAAAACAGCAGAGAGCTGCCTCACCTCTGATTGGATATTGCAAGAAAAACAGGATCTACTGAAAATTTTTAGAAAAAGGAAAAGCCAATAACTAAGCATTCATATCTATGAACTATTCAAACATAAAATGAAGATAAACCCAAGAGGAAAAAACAAAAACAAAATGCAAACATGTTTTCATGTAAGAATTATAACTTCAAATTCACCTTTTCTTTTTATTTTTGACACCCCTTTTTTTCGGCTTTTTAATAGCGCTGGTAATTGTTTGATTAGCATCCATTCTCAAGCCTGATGATCAGCCAAAACAGAAGGAGTCTTGGCTTAAGCAGATTTCTGGTACGCAAGAATGCAGTCATTAATTAGTAAAGCATTCATTTGAAATTTAAAACAAAACATAAATTTCCCTAGTAAAGTGGAAGTGCCACATATTTATTTTAATAAGAGTTTGACGAGCTCTTAAACAGAGTTCATCTCAGGATAATACTGTTCAGCTAATGAGAAAGAGTATTATAGCAATAGCACTTAGACTTATATACCACTTCACAGTGCTTTACAGCATCTCTAAGCAGTTTACAGAGTCAGCATATTGCCTTCAACAATCTGGGTCCTCATTTTACCAACCTCAGAAGGATGGAAGGCTGAATCAACCTTATAAGAATCTGATCAAATGCACAATATTCAGTATCCTATTTTTTTCATCAACTAATCTCAAAACAGGTAACTTAGATCTTGAAAACGGTTTTCTGATTGGAAAAAAAAAGAATGTTACAATATTTAAAACATTTAACTTAGAAAATGCCAAAAGATGTTATTAGATACCCAAGATGAGTCAGAGGAATTGATCAACAGGGCACTGAGTACAAACCAAATAAATCAAAATAATTTGTCAGATTATATTAAAAATACTACACTATTAAAACCCCATCAAACAATCATGGGAAGTAGCACAAATGCATCAATTTTAATTCTTAATACAGAAAATACAGCTGTAGTGAAAGAAGAAATATGATTATGACAGAGGCAATGCCAACCCAACATAACTAGGTAGAGAAGAATGTATGGTAGTAAGTTTACCTTCCGAGGTTCCAAATTCACAGAGATAGACTGTAACCATGAAATAATAATCATAAAACATTATTATTATTGCAGACCACTGAAACTGTACTGCATTGATTATGTGCTATCAAGCTGGTGTCCGCTCTATACAAGCAAAATGAATAAAACTTGGAAGAAAGTAAAAGTGTAACACAGTGATTAAAGTTTACTAATAGAGAGATCCAGATTCTATTCCACCTTCAGCTACAGATTTCACTGGGTGACTTAGGGTTGTTTACCCTCCTTCAGACTAACACAAGGTTATTATTGAGGTGTAAAATTAGGTTCTATCAATCAAACTGAAATATTTGGTTCACAAGAGCCAATGGAGAAGTCTATAGATACGTCTATACAGATATCTGTATTGCTATATTCAATTACAACGATCAATAATTCGTTTTATCCAGAAACTTAGTCCTGACACGTACACTGCACTGTGAATAGTTTCCCATTAGCTGCACCAAGAGGATTTACCCCGCATCAAAAAGAATACGGGATCTTAGGTTCACTTCCCCCCACCCATCAACTCGCTTTCTTCCAGTTACCAGAAGTGCTTGGTTCAGCTTAAAACAACGAGATTTCCAAGAAATAAGAGAAAGATGGGAAATGAGAAAGCTCTGTTTACGATCCTCAAAGCAACGGGGTAAGATGGCCAATGGTGAGGAGGAAAAGGGTGCTAGAATTGGCGCCGGGAGAAACCTCGTATTCCCTGTGGGTCGGGGAAGAGATCCACGCAGCAAGTCCAGGAAGTCGCTTCAGGGGCGACTAAGACAGGCTGCCATAGAACCGCATCAGGAGGTGGCGAGAGAATGAGCCACCGCCCACCCTTCCAAGTTCGAACGCGGCCGTAATTCGCAAGCGCGCCGCCTTCTATTTAAAAAGTTCCTAGCAAGTGGAGGGGCGGGGCCAAGAGCATCCGGCGTTCCAGTGGGAAGAGAGTTTGCGCTTGCCCGCTTTAAGCCACGCTTTTACTGGAGCGGTTCCACGCAAGAAGCGGAGGTGGCGGGATGGGGACATCCCCTTCAGAACTTCAGTCCCAAAACAGAACCGTCTTGTAGGGGAGACGGGCGAGATATAGATAGATAGATAGATAGATAGATAGATAGATAGATAGATAGATAGATAGATAGATAGATAGATAGATAGATAGATAGATAGATAGACAGACAGACAGACAGACAGACAGACAGACAGACAGACACATAGACACATAGATACATAGATACAAAGATAGATGAGGGGGAGGGGGAGAGAGAGACAGACAGACAGACAGACAGACAGACATTGCTGTCAAAGAAGCCGCCCGTGATTGATATCTCCTTGGCTTTGCCGCTACAGACGAATGGTTTATTTGGAAAATGGAAGTCTGCGATTGCTGATTAAGGGAATGTCCCCATCGAAATGGAAGTTTTATCAGAAAGACAACATTCCGAAGCTTCTGATTACTTTAAATACTTCTGCAGCAAGTAGCCTTAATGAAGGACGAGTTGAAGCGGACGGAGTACCGTCTTCCTCAGGCTGCCCTAGCTGTGAAAATGTGGCCGATCCGCGAAGGAGCGAGACGTTCGGACTGAAGAGAGTAAAACCTGTTTTTAACCTTAACATCAGCGGTCCCCTTGCCTTCATTGCTGAGGTTTGCGTGTGGACGTTAGGATAGATCAGGTGCTGGTGGATTACAGCCCTGTCCCTGTTGCACTTGCTTGAGACACCACCATAGTAACAAGTCACTCTTCCCCTTGATTGCATGATCGTCGCCCTATCGTCTGAATTAAAACAATTTTACATCGTCCTCAGCTGGAATAAAACATCTTCCCTTGCAAGCATTGAGCACTTCGCTACAGGACTATTGTTTCAATGTGATGCACGTTTTGGCGTCTTTCTGGGGAAACGCATATATTCTTCTTTGTTAGATTTTACCCACCGCTCTCCACAGATTCCATAGTAAAATTTTTATTCCTTAAAGGGCTGAGGAGGGAGAAAAGCCTATGTGTTGCACACAGCCTCTTTGCATCCCATTTTATATTCTACAATTTATATAATATTCTTATGATAATAATACAGTGAGTAGATATGGCGCCTCAATTCTTAGCTGTTTTTGTTTCAGACAATAGCATGGGGAAAGTATGCCAGTACAGCTGTTAGGCTCATTTTGTGCCAATTTGAACTGAGTCCTGCAGGTTCCAGATGTTCTCTTGCTGGATGAACCTTCTGTGTGAGGTTATTTAAGGTCTTGGATGGTACCAGCGGTGTGATGACCCATGGATCTGTTTTGTGCAGCCCAGTTCCCCTTTCTCCCAGCCGGACTGCCCAGCCACAAAGGTTGGGGACTGATGTACACTCTTTTAAAGTCCAATGTCACTGTATTTCCATATCTATTTTACATCTCAATATATTTATTGAAAGCTTATACTTCTGTTTTCTTAATCACTATGATTAAGGCATCAGGTTATAAACCTAGTTTTTTCTAAGGCATGAAAGTCATTTGGGTGGCTTTGGACTTTCTCCCAGTTCTAGAAAGGAGACAGTGAAAACTACTTCTGAAAAGCCTTGCCAAGAAAATTGTCCAGGTGGTCTTCGAGAATTGTACATAACGGAATGAAAAATTCCTTTATGTTTCTATTGTCACTACATATAGTTGTACAACTTTTTCTAGAGAGTTCAGTCTATCTTTTAAGTCTCTATTTTCTATTTCTGTCAAAGAAATAGGTCTTTTGTTTTCTGTTTGTTCCTTACAAGGCTTGATTTTTTTTTTTACCTCACACCATTGTGAGGGGAAGTAAAGACCCCCCTCTCCAGTTGTTTCATTTGTTGTTGCCTTGTCCTATTGTCTTTTCTCATGAAGGTTTAGTTTTATGCTTTGACTCCTAGGCTTTAGTTCTGTTTATTTAGCCCATTTGTTGAGGGCCATGGATGCAGAGCTCCTAGGCAGCCATTATTTCTGCCCCTTCTTATCGTTTGTCCAATGCTATTATTTGATTGACAGCTGGGTCATTCTGATGGGGGAGAGCCAAGAAGCGAGTGGAGGAATAGTCTATCCTTTCTGTCCTTCCACACTATACCCCTAACTAAACATCTGTCCTATATAAGCTTGTTCTTGCAGTTTGGCTTAAGTACACTGCTCAAAAAAATAAAGGGAACACTTAAACAACACAATGTAACTCCAAGTCATTCACACGTCTGTGAAATCAAACTGTCCACTTAGGTAGCAACACTGACTGACAATCAATTTCACATGCTGTTGTGCAAATGGAATAGACAAGAGGTGGAAAGCATAGGCAGTTAGCAAGACATCCCCAATAAAGGAGTGGTTCTGCAGGTGGTGACCACAGACCACTTCTCAGTTCCTATGCTTTCTGGCTGATGGTTTGGTCACTTTTGAATGCTGGCGGTGCTTTCATTCTAGTGGTAGCATGAGACGGAGTCTACAACCCACACAAGTGGCTCAGGTAGTGCAGCTTATCCAGGATGGCACATCAGTATGAGCTGTGGCAAGAAGGTTTGCTGTGTCTGTCAGTGTAGTGTCCAGAGCATGGAGGTGCTACCAGGAGACAGGCCAGTACATCAGGAGACGTGGAGGAGGCCGTAGGAGGGCAACAACCCAGCATCAAGACCGCTACCTCCACCTTTGTGCAAGGAGGGACAGGAGGAGCACTGCCAGAGCCCTGTAAAATGACCTCCAGCGGGCCACAAATGTGCTTGTGGCTGCTCAAACGGTCAGAAACAAACTCCATGAGGGTGGTTTGAGGGCCCGACATCCACAGGTGGGGGTTGTGCTTAAAGCCCAACACCGTGCAGGATGTTTGGCATTTGCCAGAGAATACCAAGATTGGCAAATTCGCCACTGGCGCCCTGTGCTCTTCACAGATGAAAGCAGGTTCACACTGAGCACATGTGACAGACGTGACAGGGTCTGGAGACGCCATGGAGAACGTTCTGCTGTCTGCAACATCCTTCAGCATGACTGGTTTGGCAGTGGGTCAGTAATGGTGTGGGATGGCATTTCTTTAGGGGGCCGCACAGCCCTCCATGTGCTCGCCAGAGGTAGCCTGACTGCCATTAGGTACCGAGATGAGATCCTCAGACCCCTTGTGAGACCATATGCTGGTGCGGTTGGCCCTGGGTTCCTCCTAATGCACAACAATGCTAGACCTCATGTGGCTGGAGTGTGTCAGCAGTTCCTGCAAG